ACTAGTTAGGATAAGAACCTTGGAAAAAATCAAATTTGCATGTATCTTAGTAAAACATAAATCTAAGGTTTCTAGGGTTGCATGTATACCATAAGAGTGTTAGAATGCTCAAAACCATTCAGCTTACACGATAGAAATAAAAAATGGTAAAATAGAAAGCACCTTATAAGTACTCACTAATTGCCTTCTCACCCTGAATAATCACATCTTCGATGTTGACTTAATGCCCATGACTACTGGAAGTTTCGATGTGAATCGAATCATACGAAATACAACATCACATTTTTGAATTGAATCAAATCCTAACTTACCTCTTATGCATGTACTTAGACACTGAACTCACACCTTCTACAATAAGCATAAACAAATCTTTATGCATCTGGAACCATATCCTTGAAAGAGAGCATGCTCGTCAAAATGCATGAGGCATTGGTGGGCTACTGCACGCCATCTTTGGATATATCTTCTCCGTTTACTTTGCACATTGCTCAATTCATGGTTGTTAAGATGCTTTTCTAGCCTATTTATTTATGGAGATGACTGACTGTACTACGCTATCAAAAACATCTTCCGATGAAGATGACGATGATGATGAAGACGCCATTTTTTATATAGGAAATACCTAATTTGTGAGAGAAAGAATGAGAGTTTGTGTGTGTGAAATGTTGAGAGTGTAATTTTAATTTACAAGGTTTGAGTTGAAATTTAAAATTTTGAAATTGGGTAATATAGTTTTTTTTAATAAAAAAATACGAATTGGATGAGAAAACGGTTGGATTATGTGAATAAGAAAGCAGCCAATCACATGCAAGCATCCTTTCCTCTCTCATCTCGCCAAGCTTGTAACGAGCTTCATCTAACAAGCCCCCTAACGAGTGTTAAGTGGTGGTGTTCCAGTGCCCTTAGCAAGCTTAGCGGCTCCACTACGTTTGACCTAAGAAATCGTGGCCATTACTTGCACACGTGGAGAATCACGAGTGGTCACAATTTATTTATTTATTTATATTTAATTTTAAAAGCCATTTAACTTGTAATTAAACTTATATATATATATATATATATATATATATATATATATATATATGTATATATATATATGATTGAGTTCAATAAGGAACCATTTTAAACCTTAAAACCAATGAACCAATCTTTTCTCAACTTTTAGAGCAATTTTTTTATTCAAAAAAAAAAAAAAAAAAAAAACTAAAAGTATAAAAATTTATAACTTTTTATCCTTCATCCATTAATATCAAATTTAATAATAAAAATATTGATTTATTCAGATTCACAATATGGATTTGTTTAAATTTACATTGTAAATCTGTGCAGATTCACCATGTAAAACCTGTGCTGTGAAATCTGTGCAGATTTACACTATGAATCTATGCAGATTCATACTGTGAATTTGTGCAGATTCATATAGTGAATTTATACAAAATTAATAATTTATAATATGAATTTGAATATATAAAAAAGTAAATTTTTTTGTTAAATTTGATATCAATGCAAAGAAGGTAAAATGTTATGCATTTCTATATATTTAGAATTTTTTATCGATTAATAATAAGATCTAAAACTTGAAAAAATTATGGTTTCTTGGTTCTATTATATAAAATGGTTCATTGTTGAACTTTTGCATATATATATATATATATATATATACACACACACACACACACATACTACGTGTGCATCCGCCCATGACAGCGACGACAATTATTAATTTTTCAATGAATCGTTTTTTTTTCAAGAAAATGTTATTGGACTCTTTCAATGGCTACAAATTTTCTAGTTGATATATTAGAAAAATTCAATATCTAACCTTTAGAGAGATATCATGCCACTACATTAAAAGAGAAACAAAATTAAATGATTTTTCTTTCTTAAATGTTTTCATTGATTATTTTTTATTATAATTAGTTTTTGTTCAGGAAAAGAGAAATGGTTTAGGCATAAAAGATTTGTAAATTAAGTTATAAGCATGTATTTCTTAAATTTAAAATTCAAAAAAAGTTCAATATGTTTTATAATATAGTTAATATATATATATATATATATATATATATATATATATATATATATATATATATATATAATTTTTAGTTTTTTTAGGTTGTTGATAAATGATAATTTTTTTTGATTGGTATGTAGGTTGATGAATAAAAAAAATAATATTTAATATAAAACTGAGTTGTGAGAAATTACTAATAAACATAGTCTTAGTACTTACATGTCAATTGGAAAAATAGACAAATTGCTAGGTCATAATGATATTAACAAATTGAAACACTTAAACTACCAAAAAAAAAGAGAAACATTTCAAAACCAAAATGGACAGTTTGTTATGTCATAATAGTTGAAACAGTTAAACTACTAAAAAATAATATGAGAGACTTTTTAAAACCAAAGTGGTAACAATTACATCAACCCCAAAACTTTTTACAACAAATGATGTTTCTTATTTAAAAAAAAAAAAAATTCAAATTAAATTAATATATTTTGATAAAGTGGGGACTAGGGGTGTTTCATTCTCTTCACTATTTCAGACTGCGGCTCCAAAAAAAAAAAAAAAAACTATTGTAGACTGTTTGAATATCTTTCACTGTTTCACTCTTGGATAATCTTGTTTGCTTCTGATTTTCTTCTTTCTACCTGCGGCACACCTGAGCGAACCCCACCTCCGCCACTCCACCGGTTCTCTCCGCCAGCGTCGCCACTTCAAGCCTTCCTCCGCCAGCAGCGCTACAGGTAAGCGTGCGACTCTCTTCCCTGAAATCTATTTCTTTCTGCAAACATCCCCTGTGTGTTTCTCTCTTTTCCCTGAAATCGATTTCTTTCTTCTATAATTCTAATTGTTTGCTGAACTTTGATTATGAATTTCCTAAATCCATTGCCTGATGATTTTTTTTGCCAAAAAGTCCCTGTGTGTTCTGATTTTCTTTGCCAAACAGTTATGCTTGAAATCTGAGATTATGCTTGTTATGCTGAAATGTGAAATTATGCTTCGTTTGCTTGAAACCTGAAATCATGCTTGGTATGCTGGAATTATGCTTGAAACGTGCTGAAATCTGAAATTGCAAATATGGTGAATTTGTTTGTTATACTTAAAATGTGATGATTTGATCCTTTCCAGGTTGTTAGAAAATCGTTACTTTCATTATTCCCTTAATTCTGTGCAGCTGATCTAATATACGTGTATGTTGATGCGAATTTACATATGATTGTTGGATTTTACAGGGTTTCGTGTTTGCAAGTTCATCAATTTGAATTGCCTATCAGCTGTTTGATAAAATGCCTGTTCCTTCTAGGTCAATGAGAATTAATTTAACCAGAAATTAACCACAAAAGACATTTGTATATCTCAAGTCAGCCACCATGGATGCTGCAGTTCTCTCTTGTTTCTTCTGTAAAGTCTCAAAAACCCATGTTCCTATCGCGTTTACCAAATCACAGAAGACTTCAATCAAAAGAAACCATCAGGATGAAGTTAGTTTCAGTTTAATGGATCCATCAAGAACCAGAATTTACCTTAGAAAACCATTCAAGAAATCCAATGATCCTCAGGTAACAAAACCTTTTAACGACCCTGAAGATTCAAATTCAACCTCTACGGAAACGGATCATGAAAATGGTGAAGATGAAGTAGAAAAAGAAGAAGACAATCCTGAGTGGGACCCAGATGAGATTGAAACAATCACCTCACTATTTAGAGGAAGAATCCCTCAAAAACCCGGAAAAAAACCTAGAGAAAGACCTCTTCCTCTCCCACTTCCATATAAACAACAACCATTAAAACTTCCCACTTCAAAGAAACTTTCAAAAACCATAACCTCTTCAAGAAAATCTCTATCTAGCAAACTATACAAAGACCCAACATTCTTAATCACTCTAGCCAAAGAAATTCAAAACCTTCCTCCCGAAAAAGACGTTTCCACAGTTTTAAACAATTACACTCGCTTTCTTCGCAAAAGTTCATTATCATTAACAGTAAGAGAATTAGGGCACATGGGTTTACCCGAAAGAGCTTTACAAATCTTCTGTTGGATCCAAAAACATCCTCATTTATACCCAGATGACACGCTTCTTGCTTCAACAGTTGAAGTCCTTGCAAGAAACCATGAATTAAAACTATCTTTCAAACTAGAAAAATTCCTCAGCCTATCAAGCCAAAATGTGTATGAAGCAGTTGTGAAGGGTTTCATAAGAAGTGGAAGCTTAAAACTTGCATACAAACTCGTTTCAGCTGCTAAAAATGGGAAGATAATGGTGGACACTAGTGTTTATGCAAAGCTGATTTTGGAACTAGGAAAAACCCCGGATAATTATACACATATCATGGCTTTACTTGAAGAGCTTGGAGAAAGAGAGGATTTGAATCTAACACAACAAGATTGTACATCGATTATGAAAGTTTGCATAAAGTTGGGAAAATTTGAGATTGTTGAAGGTTTATATAATTGGTTTAAAGACTCGGGTTGTGAACCAAGTGTAGTGATGTACACTACTGTTGTACATAGTCGTTATTGTAGTAACTGTTATAGAGAGGCTTTGGCTTTGGTGTGGGAAATGGAAGGGCGAAATTGTCTTTTTGATCTTCCGGCATATCGTGTGGTGATGAAAGTTTTTGTTGCTCTTAATGATCTTTCGAGAGCTGTGAGATATTTTTCAAAGATGAAGGAGGCTGGTTTTTCTCCAGGATTTGATGTTTATATGGATTTGATAAAAATTTATGCAATTCATGGGAGAATTGGTAATTGTAAAGAGGTTTGTAAGGAGGCAGAAGTTGCTGGATTTAAGATGGAGGAACAAATGAGGTCGATGTTAATGAATATATAAAGTATAAACATATTTTCATTTTGATTATGAAATCTTGTTATTTTTTTTTAATCATAAATTTAATCAAACTAAAGGTACATGTAACATAATTTAATACTTGAATCGAGTTAATCATTTTAAGAAGACTAATTATAATCAGGTCATCGGTTTTGTGTATACCACAGAAAAAGAAGACTAATTTTAGTGATGGATAATCTTTTACATGGCATTATCAGTTACTATTCACCTTATTTTTTTAATTAATTTATTTTTTCACATGATTCTCCCCTACATCTTTTTGTCTTCATACTTATCCATTAGGGTCTCAAAGGTCATTTTCTTCCTACCATGACTCTTCCATTGAATACCACAAATCTTCAAAGATGTGTACCGGTAGATTCGTAACATGCTTGATGTCACCACTCATCGCTACGAAATTACGAAGATACCCTTTTCCTTTGGTATTCAATCATCGCATCATGGGTTGAACTTTGAAGTCTCACATGATTCTTCCTACACCTTTTTTTCTTTATACTTATCCTTTATGGTCTATAGTCATTATCTATTTAAGATTCAACCCTTTACACCATAATATGTCTAACATGAAATGACAATTTTTAATACCCGAATTAATTTGTCAAAAAAATGACACGACTTTGACACCAAATCACATACATATAAACAATATATATATATATAAAACTTCTCATTATCTGAAAAAACCAAACACCAACTTACAACCATATAAATAAATGTCCTCTCATAATCGAATATATTCTTGTATATCCAATTCTACGTACTCTTATTCTTTATGATCACCATAATATTTATGAAAAAGATGATGATAGTCTCACGCAAGAGGAGATATGTAACTCTATACATTATACATATATATGTAATAATACGTAGATTCTTGGGTCACCATTTAATAAGAAATTTCAAGTGTTACACATTGAACTTCTGTTCTGTAGCACTCGTTGACGCCTGTGTATATACCATAAGTTATTATTATAAAATATAAATCCATAATTTTTATAAAAAAATCAGAAAACTAATAAAGTAAAGTTTTTTAGTAACTAACCCCAACAGACGTAATAAATTGACAAACTGCACATTTCACTGAACGTGCTCCATATTGATACATCAAAAGCATCCTACAGTTTCCACAATTGACATGTGCCACTTGATTTGCTGTAGAAAAGTTGTTAACTTTTGTTATTTAACAAGTTTTTAATCGAATTTTAACATGATTTAGAAGTTAAATTTGGTTACCTTCTAAGGCTAAATTGATGGTGTGACAGCAAGAACACTGTACACTTGTCGCACCACGGATGTACATGAGCAATGTATGGCAGCCTCCACAAACCAACTGAGCCATTTCAGTGCCTAAATCATTGAAAATTCATGTTAAAGGAACATAATCTTTGAAGTATGAACAATTTGGAAGCCATTAAAACTGAAATTTTGATACCAGGAGGAGGAACAGAGGTGACTGCATTGCAAACTGCACAGCATACTGAAGTTGCTCCAACAGGATAAAGGAGAAGATTTCGACATCCAGAACACACTAGCTGGCTTTGAGATCCTGTTTCATAATACCTTTTCACAATTAATCTCATAAAAAAACAGATCTAAAAACATTCGATTGAAAGAGAAAACAGAGCATTCGATGCTCTGTTTTTCTGGCGTTCCGAGCTTTCTTCGTGCACCAAATTCACAAATCATTTTGTTATATAAACATAATCGTGAAAAAATATTTGGGTTTCTTTCCGAAATTTCAAATACTTTTGTTTTGATTCGATTTCTGTTTTGTTGAACAGATTAGCTTGTTGTAATCCGTAATTGATGCTTTCAGTCTTTAAACAAGAAGAAAAGAAAAGAAAAAGGATTTAAGCAGGAATAAATTATCGAACTCATGAGGATGGTTGATAATCTAGTAAGAATTGTGCAGTTATACCAACGGTAGGAGTTGTAAGTGGCGCAGGAGGAGTTGGATATGGAGCTAGAGGAACTGGCATTGTAAATCTGTGAAAAAAAGTATACTCTTTTCACTTTCAAGATCTCAAGAAGATTACAACTCTTGAAGCATGAAGTACAAGTCGTTTCATTCCTTTCTCATCATCTACCTAAGAAAATCAAGAAAGGCAAAGACATGTTAAGCAAGATAAAGTGACTGTTTAATGAAACAGAGTATTAATGTCGATTCAGAAAAAATGGCGAAAATCTGAAACACCAACATGAAATATTGCCATTAAAAAGCCATACATGAAGCAAAATTTAGTGGAAAGATGAAGCTTTTGCTGGCAGCATTCCATGTTGTGAACTAGTTGGGGGTGGGGCAAGCACACACCTTTGCTAGTTTTTGCAGAGGAGAGAGAGAGAGAGAGAGAGAGAGAGAGAGAGAGAGAGAGAGAAATGAGTTGGACAAAGAGTTAGAAAGAGATGGCGATAAAAAGAAGCATACCTTGGGTGTTGAAAGTAACAAGTTTGAAATTTAATATGATTTTTAAGTTATCTGAATTCATTACTTTAAATCGGAAGGAAAAACAATATCTATATATAAATGGTGTTGTTAAGAGTTAAGACGTTAACATCTTAATCCTAAACACTGTTTCTTTTAGACTATGTATGGGTCCTTCAGTGTATGGACTATGGAGGATTTTATTCACCCCTTTGTCATGTTATGTTAAAAGATGTTGAGAGTTAATGGAGGAAAAATAATAATTAGTTTTATTAAATTTTTTATAACGATTTAATTTAAAATAATAATAATAAAATGGTTTGGTGGTATGATAATCATTTTCTACGATAGTATTTTGGAGGATGATATAAAGGTTGTCCTCAAAATTTCGTTAAACTAATTAATAATTAAAAAGTTTGATTTCTATAAAAAAAATATAAAATGATATTTAATAGAATGATTTTAATATTATAAAACAAATATGTAATACATGTAACACATATAATACATATAATGTAATTAAGTTTGTATTAGAAAATAATTATTCAATTGTCTATATCTAAATAATATTTCTTCCGTCACATATAATATTCTTAATATTATAACAAAACTTCATATGACATGTTATCAAGTTTTTGAATTCAATAAATATTGATTATACTAATATTTTATTCCATTTTTAAAATAAAACTTAAACAACGTAAATTAAAAACATAAAAAAAAAACTATTATTAAAAACTACATTAAATTGTAAATATAACCATGTTTTAGTTGAAATTCAACATAAGAATATAATTAATAAAGAGTATATTTGAAAGAAATAATAATAAAAAACTTAATAACCTCGTTGCTATATTAGATACATTTTTATAAAACTATTTGTAAGTTAATTTTTTATTTTAAAACATGACAACTTAAAAAAGCACAAAAAATATATTATTTACAACACGCCAAACATAGTTTCTGGTAAATGCGCACACAGAATTGCGCGCAACCGGTTTTATGCTTACCCTACTATCATTTATGTTGGTAGGAGTCTAGGACCCGCACAAAATATCATGTGAATATCATACAATTGTTTTTTTTAATAATGACTATTGTGTAATAAAAGTTGAAACCGAACTCAAAGATTCTAAATAAAGTCCTATTAATCATCATAATAATATTACGTGTAACGATATTATAAACTGGTGAATAATTTGTCTATTAACGGGATACATTGATTGCAAAAGTTGCACAATACGACATACTACGCAAAAGTTAAAATAAATGGATATGTAATATATTTGATTTGTATGTTTGCTATAATTTTAAACGAGTTGTACTTTGTATAGTTTGTATATGTTGAAAATTCTTTTATGCTGATAATTTGTTAGACATGTATAATACGAATCATGAATAGATACAAATTAATATTATAAATTAAATCCAAATATTACAATTATTTTTTATAGATATAAGTAGATTCCAGTATAAATATAAACTACTTGGTTTCCTTAAATGTAACAACAAAATATACATAATGAACAATTGTTGTTACCATAACCAAACTATATTATTGTGAATCTAAGTTTGGGTTTTTTTTGTTTTTTTTAAAGTCATTGATTGAATTAGATTTAATAACTTAGATTCGATCACTTATCAAACTTGGTAAGAAACGTATCAAAGACTATAAGATCGTATCAATCTAGGTCAATCACTATGGAGATATAAAATAAGATATAAAAGGTAATGCATGATTTGAAACATTTTGTTCACAGTCTTGAACAATGATGGATCCATGATTGCTAACAGAAATACGTGTTGTCATAACAAATTCCCTAGTGGTTATTTTTTTTTTTTTTTTTTTTAATTATACACATTAAAATCATAATAATAATAAGAAGAATGTACGTTGTCTAGACTCTAGATTGGTCCCTGGTCTTCAAATTAAAATGAGTTTAAGATTTTAATATTGCATGTCACTGAGTCAGTTGGCACGTGAGAGATTTCGTAAGCCATAGGTTCCCTTCTCATGGGACATCGAACAACTAGGATTTATCCACGTCACTATGCACCCCAAACAATTAAAATTTTATTACTAAGTACCTAATATTGGAAAAAAAATGTACAATTGGTCCCTATCTTTTTCTGAAACTGTATCTCTGTCTACCTGCACTTTAAACAACATCGGGTAAGGTCCAAAATTTAATGGTTTTATCTACCCGTCTTTAAAATGGTCATAAATTCATTGCTATGCAACCGAATGAAAAAATTGATAATAAAAAAGATTGTATCTCAATCAAATTTAACCGGTCAGGATTTAGGATTTAATTATTGCGACAAAATTAAATAATGAAGAAAAGGGAAAAAAAAAATCTATGTTAACCTAGCTAAATCTTTAAATAAAAATACAAAGAAAATACGCTCAATAACTTATTATACTAACATCATCTCCCAAACTTATAATGCCATAGCAATAAACATTCACACTTTGTTAGTTAAGAAACAAAATTATGAAGATATCAACATTCAACAAAGTTGAGAGAACAAATGGTAGCGATATGGTTCCGAGTTGTAGATGATGTCGAGCGAAATAACAGTCAAATCTCAGTATGTTTCGTTCGCTTATGAAAAACATAATTCTTCGCAATCCACATGACACTTCTGTTATCACAATGTAAGGGGGTAAGCAGAGAAACATCAACACTTATATATGCAAGAAGTCATCGCAACCAAACAATCTCACAAGTAATCACAACCATAACACGATATTCAACATCTATAGAAGATCGAAAGACAACATCCTGTTTCTTACTTTTCCATGAGATAAGTGAATCTCCAAGGAAAATATACACACCAAAAGTGGATTTCTGATTAGTAGGATCACCATCCCATTTAATATCATAATACACATACAACTCTAAACAACACGTCAAATAAAACAAGTGTAACACCTCAATTTCCTAGATGAGAAACTTGAGAATATTATTCATATTAGAGGACCTACTCGACGAGTTGGTTGGTCCCAACTCGTCGATTCGGAGGACTGGACTCGACGAGTTGAGTCTGTTTGATGAGACCTTAATTATTCGGGCTTGCACTCTATTTAAAGGAATTTAACTCCTTTACCCCGCCTCCCTCGCTACTTTACCACCCTAGGAGAAACCCTAATCGAGCTATATTCATATGTGTGAGAGAGGCTAAGATTGTATGTTTTAGTGCATTTTTGGAAGGAGTTTGAGGAGCAAAAGGCTTGGAACGAGAAGGAGCCCTTGGATCCAGTGTTCTTTCAGTGTTAGCTGCCACTTGGAGGTAAAAGCTATTACCTTGGCCATTTGTTTGTTAGATCTCTTTACTAAGGAGTTTATGGCCATTTCCATATTCTCTTTGAGCCCCTTAGTTGTTTGAGCATGCCTTGAAGATGAGACTTTAGATATGGATAGTATAAAGTCCTTAGGCATAAAGATTCAAGCTTTATCAAGCTATTGGCCAACTTGCATGCATTTAACCCTTAAAGAGCTTTGTTTTGGCATATTGAGCCCTAGATGCCATGCATGAACGTAACGCTTGCAGCTTTACGTGGTATTTCAGCCATAGAAGGCTAGATCTAGTGTATGGGGCCTTAGTTTATCTTAAAAACATTTGAATGAGAGAATAGACTGAAGGGACTTAACGAGTTGATGAGCCAACTCGATGAGCCCCGATCTTTTGGCTAGCAACTCGATGAGTTGACTCGGGCTTTTGTGATTTACTGAGTACTAAGGAACTCAACGAGTAGATGAGTTGGGTCAACTTTGGTTGTTGACTTCTGTTGACTTTAGGGTTTTGGTCAAGCTGTGGATTTTGGAAGCTAAGGAGAGGCGAAGTCTAGACCAGCAGTTCGAGTGTTAGATATATTGCTTTACTCTGCTAGGTGAGTCTTCTCATAAAACTTACCTAAGCGGTAATACTATGTGACCGGAGGGTCTTATTTGAGTTATCGACTGGAGGGTCCTATGTGCTTATACTGAGTTATGTGATATTCTGCATCTTGTCTTTATGATATATGCTATATTATTCTGTGCCTTACTGAGTTTGGACCGGAGGGTCCAAACCGAGCTGTGAGATCGGAGGGTCTTCACTGAGATACAAGACTGGAGGGTCCAACCCGAGCTGTGAAACCGGAGGGTCTTCACTGAGACACATGACCGGAGGGTCCAGATTGAGCAGTGAGACCGGAGGATCCTCACCAAGACGCATGACCGGTGGGTCCATGTCAAGCTATAGCCATAAGAGGCTTATTATTTGTGTATGTGGTATTTTGGGGAACTCACTAAGCTTCGTGCTTACAGTGTTTGTGTAAAATGTGTTTCAAGTACATCTCAGGATCATGGGAAGACACCGACTTGATTGTACACACAAGCTAGAGTTTATGTTGTTTTGAGGATTTTGGGATAATATGAAACATTTTATTGATTTGTGTTTTGAACAACTTATATATTTGATTTTTGAGAAATGTGAGATTGTGATTTATGGGGTTTTAAAAATGAAAATTTTATTTGAAAATTTAGAGTGTTACAAGTTGGTATTAGAACCTTGGTTTAAGGGATTTGGATGTACCCTCGGGTATGTCTGGACTTAAACTGAGGATTTGAGAAAAATTTTCTAAAAAGAAATGATTTAAAAAACGAGTAAGAGCTTTTAAGAGAAAACGAGATGGAGCAGTGTGTACAATCAGTCAGAGCCCGAATTGTGATTTTCCCAAAATACCCTTACTTGTTTATATTATGAGATGAGATACTTATGAGATATTAGAGTTGCATTCTAGAGGATAGGCTAGGTATTTCAGGAATTTAGAGCTAGAGTTACCTGATTCATGATGTCTAACATGAATATTTTTGAGAGAGCTTGAGACAAGGAGTAATCTAGGAGAGATACCTAGATGTGCATTTGAGGAATCTACTGAGGAAGTAGTTAGATACCTACGAGAGGTAGGATTGTTTGAGTTCGGTGATGCCTTTTGAGTTGCGAATAGAGCAAGTGGAGTTGTATGCTAGAGTGGTTTTATGTAATGGTGGAGGTTATTTGATGCCCGAATGCTGGTTACTTTGTGCTTTATGGAACTCACGAGTGATGTAAGTTAGCTAGAAAAGCTAATTAACATTGCGAGGAGTTCTTCAATAGTTGATGGC